CGTTAATACTTATCTACATGCAAGTTGCAAGGAGTTACATTATCTACAATGTGGTAGACTAACAAAACAGTCTCTATCCTCTCTTGAGATGAAGGTTTGGTTTGTAATTTTGTAAATACTTCTAAGTGCCTTAGGAGTTTTACCTGACATAAGAAACGTATGCCAGGACCAAATTACCCAAGGAAAATGACTTGTTGATATGGTGCTATTTATTAGGGGAAAAAAACACCTTAAAGTCATAAGAGATAAATGTTTATCTCATTGGTCACAAACACAGGGAATTCTGTGTTTTCAGGGAAGCAGTTTCCATGGTAATGCCATTTCCCCCGACATGCCATGCTCTCTCACCCTCCATCACTGGAACTGGAGTCTACTCCACACCTCACCCACGGTTACTCCCTAACTGGCTGCTGGACTCTCCTAGAGCAATAGGAGTGTACCCCTTTGCACCATTAACGTTGGATTTGACCATGTAATTTACTATAGCAAGAGGAATATGTGTTCATCACGGTATTTGACACATAGTCAGCATTCATATAGGCAAATAAACTGAACTAGTGATACCTCTATTCCTGGGTGGTTTTGATCTATATGCCATTCATTGTCTGTTTGCTTTCCACTTTTCTCCTCTGCACCATTCTGCATCACTGGGGGATGGGAGAACTAACCTTGCATACTGTATTTTCAGGCTTTTGTCAGTAGGTCCGAGATAGGTTCAGTCACTAAGAAGCACTAACAGTGAAAAGAAGGAAAAGCCAAGGTGTTTCTCTCCCTTTCTCTTCTTGGGAGGAAGAGGATGCATCTCTAGCAGGGGCTACTTCTCTTCTCTATTTCCAGCTCCCATCAGACAACCCTTCCTCCCCATGAATCCTGCCTTTCTGGCCTGCAGTTCTATGAAGTGGCCTGTGTTTCTGGGAAGCAGGGAGGACAGATCCTTCCTTAATCCTTCCATCCCTAGGGGTGAAGCAGCTGGCTGTGGTTGCTAATCTCTGGTTTTCCTTGCCTTTCCCTATTTGCTCTTTGAATGTTTCTAATCCCTGCTATTTCCCCTTATTAGTTTCATTTTTCAGGCTGGGCTATTTCAGAAGCTATGTACAAAATCAGGCTTTGTCTTAAATTCTGGTCCCTTAAGGAGACATGTTTGTTTTCCTCTCTTTTTTGGAGAGGATTCCTGGAAGATATTTTTCTCTATGGCTTCTTTTCCTGCTATTTTGTACTACTTCAGATAAGACTGTATTCAGAATATTATCAGCAGTCAAAAAGCTAACTCTGGTGCTCGATTTGGCAATACATGTGCTAAAATCGGAACGAAACAGAGAAGATTAGCATGGTCCTTGTGCAAGGATGACACCCAAATTTGGGAAGCATTCTATATTTTTTTGTGTGAACTAAATAAACTTTTCTATATTGTTGTACTGTTTTTTTTTTTAAAGAGAGAGAGAGAGAGAATTTTTAATATTTATTTTTTAGTTTTCGGCGGACATAACATCTTTGTTTGTATGTGGTGTTGAGGATCAAACCCAGGCCGCACGCATGCCAGGAGAGCGCGCTACCGCTTGAGCCACATCCCCAGCCCCTATTGTTGTACTGTTGAAAAAAAAAAAAAAAAAAAGCTAAACTGCTCAAAATTGTGAAGATGTCAGCTGTTTATAAATTGATCTATAGATTTGCTATAATTCCTCTCAACATTCTAATGTTTTTTTAAAAAATATTTTTTAGTTATAGATGAACACAATACCTTTATTTTATTTACTTATTTTTATGTGTTGCTGAGGATTGAACCCAGTGCCTCATACTTGAGAGGCAAGCGCTCTGCCACTGAGCCACAATTCCAGCCTTAATGTTGTTGTTTTTTTTAAATGGAAATTGACAACTTATTTCACAATCTTATGGAAATGTAAAGAGTCAAGAATAGCAAATACCCACCTAAAGAAAAACAAAGTGATAAGAGCTTTTCCACCAGATAGCAAGACATATTAAATAATATGATGCAGAGAAAGTGTGGTACTGCTTCAAGGAACAAGTAGAACAATGAAATGGAGTGCATCCATGGTCTAGAAGTGTCCAGAAACATACCCATAAATTAACTCTAGATTTTTTTTTTCAAAACAACATTGAAAAACAGGTAAAAAAGGAAAGTGACTTTAATATAATATTTTCAGGACAATTTGGTGATGATATGGTAAAAAAAAATGTGACCATACTCCTGTCTCATATCATGTTTATTCTGAACCCTGCTTCCTTAAGGAAATATTAATTTTCCTTCTTTATCTTGTTTCAGAGAATTCTTCAGAAATACTCCTCCTGATAACTTCTTTTATTCTGGAACAAATAGATATAGATGTAAGAGGTAAAATCATAAAAAGTTTATAAGATAATGAAGAGAGAGAGAAAAAAGGAAAGCTGAGTCTGAATGTGGAAACTGACTATAGGCCAGGGCTGCCTCCCCCACTCCATTCCAATTGGCAATAATGAAAAGACCTTTCCGACATCAAGGTTTTCTTGATGACTAATAAAATCATCAGCCCAAGCACACTCTGAAAAGCCACAAAATGATGTTAATGTGCTTACCAAGGAGCAAGAAAAAAGGAAAGCACTGGAAAATCAGAATGCAGATGCTTCTGGAAGGTGGTGATTTAAAGGCCTATTGGCAATCAGTACATTTTAAAGAGCAGTTGGAACCCTTATATAAATTCAACAGTAGAGAAAGAATCTCTCACTTATCTACATCAAGGAAGGGCCTCATTTGACATCTCCTTTTTCTGTACCCACTGCTTTACAGACGTTTTGAACAATATTTTTTGGGCCCTGAACATTCTTTTTCTTGTTTTGAAAGAATTTCAGACAAATATTAAAAATAGTATACATATCCCTATACGTTGTTCACCCCAATTGTCCAAATACTAACATATTGTCCTACTTGCCTTAGCATTCCCTTCTTCTTTTTCTACTTCTTTATTTTTTTCCTAAAAATTTGAGAGTAAGTTGTACATATGAGATCCTTTTACTTTTAGAGACCTCAATGTTCTTTTCCTAAAAACAAGGACATTCTCTTACATAATCACAGTACTAATTCTCAAAGCAGGAAATTAACATTAGACAATTAGACAATAAGATGATGTAATTCATAGATCATATTCCAATTTTACCAATTTTCCTACAAATATCCTTTTTAAGACGACTACTCTGTGAAATATTCTTTGGCTCTAGTTTTGGTGAGATAATTCCCAGCTTTTTCAGGAAGATGTAGCCAACCACTCAGCACATGCAAAAAGAATTTAAGCCTCATTATTTTTTAGTTGTACATGCAGGCAATATCTTTCCCCGAATGAAGAGAACCCAAATGAAACTTTGCTTTGTTCCCCAAAGCCTGTGTTATTAGAGAAGATTGTTTCTCTTCTCTGTAGGGTTCTTGCCTCATGTTTTTTCCTGATTCCTCATTAGGCTGAGGCAGTTCATGTAAAAAATACTCTGTAAGATGTTTTCATCTCCTCACATATAATAACAAGCTACTTTCCTATTTCAAATTAAAAGCAAGAGAGTATGCACAGGGTGTTCTAGTTCCTGAAAGCAGGTTATTCCATAAGCCACCCCTAATTCTATGCTTTTGTTATAAAGGAGTTATCAAAGGGCAAAGGGTAACAACCTAAATAAATGTCCATCAGAAAGAGAACTGGTTTGTCAGACATGGTGGCACACACCTGTGATCCCAGCGACTCCAGAGGCTGAGGCAGGAGCATTGCAAGTTCAAGGCCAGTCTCAACCTTGTCTTAAAAACAAAAACCAAAAGGGCTGGGGATGTAGCTCAGGGGCAAAATGCCCTTGGGTTCAATTCTAGTGAGGGAGAGAGAGAGAGAGAGAGAGAGAGAGAGAGAGAGAGAGAGAGAGAGAGATGCTTGAATTCCAGCCTATCCATACTATGTAACAGTGCAGCCATTCAAAAGAAAATGCAGCTGTATAAGTTCCAAACCAAACTAAATCTAAACCATAGAAAGTGACTCTGAAGAGGGGAACTGGGGAACTTGAGAATTGAGACTGAGGTGGGAGTACACCATTTTGTATCCTCTGATTTTTAAAATTATGAGTATATATTATGTTTGGAGGGGTGGGAGAAATCATAAATGGTAGATAGATTCAAAGACCCCAAATTTGAAGGAACAGCAGGCCCCATAATCCCTAGCTGTGCCTTCTATTTTTAAAACCATCACTTCCTTTTTCATTTTCCCTGAACGACCATCTAGTACTGTCTCGTTAGCAGGAATCTTTCCCTCAGCTAGGTAGTGAAGTCACAAAACAGACCGAGTCATGCACACACTCTCAGCAGAACTGCCCGCACGTGCACACAGCCTCAACTACACGTTTTTAGATTTGGAGGGGTGTGTGTGTGTGTGTGTGTGTGTGTGTGTGTGTTGCGGGGGGGGGGGGGGGGCGGGAGAGACGGGAAACAAGCTTGAGCAATCTAAACCAGACCCCCTACCTCTCCCGGTGTCGCAGATCTACACTACCTTCAGTCACCCCTTTCCTTCCACCGCCTTACTCCCCACCCCCCGCTCCAGACCTCGGAGCCTGGACTGGCGTAAATTTCCGCCTACTTGCGCCACCGCCCTGGGGGCTGCCTGATGACGTCAGGGCTGAGCGAGGGGGGTGCCGCCTTCTGGCTGCCCGCCCCTCCCAGGACTTGCGGCCCCCGCCAGCCCTTTAAAAGAGCGTGGCCTGCGCCAAACGCGCCACACCGCGGGGACCAGGACGCACAGCTGGTTTCCCGAGGCATCTCCATCTCGCCTTCCTTCGGCACCTCGCCTCCCTGGTACAGCCGCATCCTTTTTTCCGCGAAGGTTTGGGCGAGTGGGGCCATGCAGCCGGCGGTGCTTCTCAGCATCCTGGGAGCCGCGGTGCTGGCCGGTGAGTGGGCGCGGTGGGCCCTTCAGCACCGCGGACAGCGCCAGCCCCGTTGTCCCCGCAGCTCCGGGCGTCCTGGCTGGCGAATAATGGGAATCAGGGAGGGTTAAGTGCAAGATTTCTCCCTTTACTTGAGGTTATTCATTTCTTCCCGTCCCTGGTTGTTTCCCTTAGATTATCCACCCCCGCCAGTGCTCCCCTCTGACTTGGAAAAGCCAGAGGAATCCCTAGCCCAGCCAGGAGAGTCTCGGTTTTGTCATGTGTGGTTTTCCAGGTAGCTAGAAAGGGAGAAAGCGTGCCGCACCTCCAAGGAAACCCCACATTTTTTGCTCACTTTAAAGATGTCACACTCTCTCTGCTGGTCTAGAAAGTCGTTGTTGAGGTCTGGATTCTGTATTTGTTTTGACTTTTTATAGCCAGGTGACTACAGAGAGGTGGAAATTATGTAGTATGATATTAGTTGGCACCTGAATAATTTATTTTATTATTATTACTATTACTTCGTAAACAATTAGGTAAAACTGAGTTCCATATGCATAAAAGATAAACCTTTTTCTTAACATGTTTATATGTATGTTCACATATATGTGTGTACACATTTAATATATTTCTGCAGTTTGTTTTTTTCATATCTGGAGAGAGGAGATTTCACATTCAGTTAATCTATTTTTAAGTTATGAATGGAAGCTGCACTAGACCTTTGTACTCCAGGAAAATAACTAGAGTATTTAATAATCACAAAAGTATCTCTGGAGTAGTGGAAAATATTTTGTTTTAGTCAGGTTGGGAAGATGAAAATTTTAAGTAGTAGATATTTGATAGTTTTTCTTTATGTGTGGAAGATTGTGGGTTCCTCTTTCAAACTACTCTGAACCTCAGAGAAATGATCTTGGAAGATTCAAAGTTGTGTGTGTGTGTGTGTGTGTGTGTGTGTGTGTGTGTTTTGAAGTAAAGTCCCAATGGATAATCAGTCTATTGAGAAGTAAGTATACCACCATCAAATTAAAATAGAGGTTTTCTTTAGCTGTTTTGATGACCTATCGGAAATTATTTTCTTCTGAGGTTGATATTCCTGTCTAGAATTGAGATATTGAATATTCATAGCTATACCCATATCCATGAGTATGAAACTCTTATCGACAGCAATTTCTGTGTCCAAAAAAAATGTTGAGACAAAATTAAAGCCAATGATAATTTATTTTATTGGAAACTACATGCATTCAGGATTTTCTAAAATCTTTGTCATGCTTGCAAATTGCTAATAAATGTTCTCAATTTAATTAAAGGAAACCAAATGAATAATTTAGAATTCTTTATGGTCAAAATATTTTTAAAAAGTAATTGCATAAGAGGACAAAGAAATGCTATCTATTGTGTTATAGACTAAAAAAAAGTGACATTTGTGGGACTTAAATAAGTGGGATCAACTATGATGATAAAATACTTACAGATCTTTCATATAAGAGAATATTGTAATCAA